CAGCAGGAAGTCACCTTCAGAATACTTTGTTCAAGTGATAGAGTTGGTGGAGTTATTGGAAAGGGAGGCAGTATTATTAAAGCTCTTCAAAGTGAGACAGGGGCAACAATAAGTATTGGTCCTTCAGTAACTGAGTGTGATGATCGATTAATTACTGTTACTGCTTTAGAGGTCTGTTAAATAAAATCCTTCTGTTTGTACTTGTTTGTCTACCAGTTGTATGTGTATCATTATTTTGATTGTTTTTATCAACTTTTTCTTTGGTGGTCGCTTCATCTTTTTTGCAGAATGTCGAGTCAAGATATTCCCCGGCCCAAAAGGCTGCTGTGCTTGTTTACTCCAGGTCCATTGAGGCTGGTTTTGAGAAGGGGCTAGACTCTGGATTAAGTAAGGGGTCAACTGTTACTGCACGTCTTGTAGTTCCATCAAGCCAAGTTGGTTGTTTGTTAGGAAAAGGTGGAGTGATAGTATCAGAAATGCGAAAGGCAACCGGGGCTAGCATAAGAATGATTGGGACTGATAAGGTGCCAAAATGTGCATCAGATAATGATCAAGTTGTACAGGTTTGGACATGATACTTTGTTTTATTATATTTTTCAAATAAAACATGCAAAAGAATGCTTTTATTTTTTCAATGAATGTGTTCAGTGTATCTGGCAACTCCGAAAATTCCCCACCTTAAACTAAAATAAAATTTCTCATCCTTAATCATGCTAATTTTAGTGACCTTTTCTGCAAAACTCTTCGATTGTAATTATGTGTCATTTAAATATTTAAAGTTAATCTACTGTTTGCCACATGCATTCTGCAAATATTTATTATCCTTAAGTGTATATCTATAGTTTTCCCTTGCACTTATTAGAATTGACCAGACATCAATCCTGTTTCCCAGAGCATTTCTATGGTTGCCTAAAACTTCTCATATATAGTTCACTATATTTTTTTTAAGTCATTATGATAATCTTTTTGGTGATGTTTATTAGTTAACTAACTATATCCTTTTTTCCCTCAGATATCAGGAGATTTTTCAAGTGTGCAAGATGCTTTATATAATGCAACTGGTAGACTGCGAGATAATCTGTTTGCCAGCACACAGAATAGTGCTGGAACCAGGAGCCTTTCTTCTGTACGAGTTGATACCAGTCCATATGGAAGACCGCAGGATGTTGTTCCTCATGGAAGCCAATCTCTTGCTGCCACTTCTCATAGTATGAGTAGACATACTTTTGCTCAAGGCATTGATCATCTTGCTCTTTCTAGAAGCTTAGATCGCCCTGCTTCACCAGGGTTGTGGATGTCACCAGTATATCTCTTTCTCTGTGCTGTTTGGTTTTACATTCACAAATTATTATTATATTTTATCAATTACTTTTGTGATTAAAATTTGATAGCAGACAGTGGCTGGGATAAATTCAAGAGGCATTAATGATGTTAGTTGGGGATTGACATCTCGGAAAGGTGGCTTAGAACTTGTCAGGTTGTTGATCTACAAAACTAATTAGACTCATTTTAATTCAAATAGCATATTTATAATTATATATTGATCAGAAACAAACAGTGGGTTTTCTTGTTATCTCAAATTTTAGGATTTTAATAATATTAAGAGCTATTTATGATGGTGTATTGTGATGGATGTAGATTTCTATGGCATAAACTACCCTTATGATTTTTTGAATCATGTTCTTGAAAATTGCTTATTTGTATCAAATAATATTTTCTGACATACTCTGCTACACTATCGGAACCGTGTGTTTTTAAACTTTTTTTAATACCGAGGATGCCTGCTTTTTTGAAACTCAATATTTAGTGATATTGTACCATGCATTTTAAGTACTTTTTGTGCGTGTGCGAACTGATAATAATTGTCATGAGCAGGCATGTATCATAGATATGTCTAATTATAACTGTCATGTTGGTGGTTATGAGCAGAAGTTAAGAACAGTAATGTATTATTAGAATCTATACATCTATACATACATAAATATTACATATTATAAAGGGATACAGGAAAGTGTAACTGTTTCTGGTCTCAACCATAATATAACAAGAAAAAAAACCTCTCATATTTCGTGAATAATCACTCATGACCACTCTTAAATTATCTTTTTTTTTTTAATTTTTAAAAAATTAAGAGGCATGAAGTGCCTCTTTTACCTGCTAGTATTGAATAGAAAATAATTTATCCTGCATTAGCTGTTCTGTATTAGATATAGAAACCACCTTGATGACAGTTATTCATAGAAAATAACGGATGGCAGTTATATATCGGGATATATTTGATAGTTGGCTGTGTAATGAAGCAGGTGTTGTTATTTGCAGTTTGTGGACAGAAAATACTCTCTGTATAAGTCCTTTATCACGAGGACAACAAGTGTATTGTTCTACCAGTTCAGTGACAAACCATTATAATTGACTAGTATACACTATTTGATTTAACGTTGCTTTTCTTATTTGAAATCCTTGCTTTGGTGTGAAGTGTAGCCAACAAAACATGGTTTATAAAAGAGCGATGGAAATAGTCAGTTGAACATATAAAATAGAATGCTGCAACTGTCAATTTCTTATTATTGTTCCTTTTTTGGTCTGCAGTGGAAGTAAATCTGCTATAGTGACTAATACGACCGTAGAAATTGTGGTTCCTGATGATACTATTGACTCTGTATATGGGGAAAATGGTAGCAATTTGGCTCGTCTGAGACAGGTACACAAACTTGGATAAAGCGCTTATATATCTGTTTACTTGTTCACCAGCTCACCGTTTAATCCTTATGAACTTGCATTTTGATTTGAATTCAAATTAATTGATACTTTCAAATTATTCTGTTTCTGTCTATCTCATTTTCGAAAACCAAGGAGTATTACTTATTGTTTTATCATTATCAACTTCATGTATTGATACTTTGACTAATAGGAACGAGTGAGAGCATTGGAGTCACAGTTTATTAATAGAGTATAAAGTAGTCCAATTCTAATGCTCTAAGATTTCCAAAAAATAAGGCAATTCAATAACTTTTTAGTTGATTTACAATAAAATAAATAAAATAAAATAAGATAAATTTAAAATGCTGGGAGTATTTTATCATTTTTTTATATTTTTATTTAGATCTGTGGCATTGATAATTTGAGGATGAATTACTTGCAAAAATATTATGATTTAATAACTTGATTTTCCTTTCGGCATCTGAAACTTTATTTTTGTACTTATTAGATATCGGGTGCAAAGGTGGTTATCCGCGAACGTCCTGGAACAACTGACAGGACTATCGTCATTTCCGGTTCACCTAATGAGACTAAAGCAGCGCAGAGTCTTCTACAAGCTTTTATTCTTAGTGGATCATGACATATGGCCCATTATTTATGGCTGTACTGTTTTCTCTTTTCCTTTTTGTCACCACCTGAAATCGTGTAATATCCAGCCTTGTATTATTCCTAAACCCCATCTTTGGTTAGTCCCGATAGTGTAGTAATTTAACATCAATCGCTTGATTCTTTAGTGCATACCTTAGTTACAGTAAGCAAGCCTTTCATTCAACAATTTTCGTGCGTTCATCTGGTTTCTTTTTAAGTTCTTTCCTGCTCAGTATGCCTACCAGCAAGATGTCTCGATGATATGGATATCACCAAAAAAGGATTGCTAAAGAAACTTTGGCTTCTCGATGGCTTCGTGAGATTGTGGTCAAACTATGATTGAGGTATAAGTTTAAATTGCGGTTAGCTTGACTAGGATAAAGGATTGGGTTGATTCTCTAGTACTTCGAGAGTCAAGGATGATTTATTGTCGTGTGTTATTATAATGTGTCGCAGACAAATTTTGACCAAACAATGTCTGGGACAAAATGCAAGGGGAGACCAAAATGAAGAAATAGTAGCTGTAGAAAACAAACGAGCCTTAAAAATAAAAAGTTAGGGTATGAAGCAAGAGGATCCTTCAATAGAAGACCCAAAAATCAATCTAGCAAAAAAACCAAAATTGGGAGAGTCAAGTAGCAACAAGACGATTTTGGTTGAGCCAATCAAAAACTTAATAAAATAAAATAAGTTTTTATTAATGAGCTTCTTCGATATCAAAATAGCGTAAATACCCACTGATAACTTTTGTGGTAATTAGAATTGGGTTTACACAAGGAGCAGAGGTATGAGTTGGTCTATGGCTTTTCATTGGATTGACACTTGAAATTTGAAATTTGTTTCGAGAGTTTTAGCTAAGGTGTTAAAAAAAGTATCCTATTTAGTAACAAATAATTCAATAGTTATATTGAAGTAATGTCACTAGAGGTAGAAATCGTAAGATTATGCGGAGAAGTCTTTGGTTACTCTTGCTGGAGTGGAGGAACCAGAAGCCGAAAACAATTTTTAGTAATATGCCAAAGCCAAACCGGCACACCAGCATCTTTTGCTTTCTCGCTAAAACATTTTAAAATCCCTTTTCTTCATTGAAGGGTTTTGAGTTTCATGCAGACCTATACATTTCTTCTGCTAAAAGAGGCTGTTAATCGCCTAATTTTATGCAGGGAATTTCTCGTGGTAAAACAAGTTTGAATTCAGGTTACAATTGTTCTAGGGATTCTCCAACTTGAGGTCAGGAGTGGTGAATCAACATTTATGTACAGAAACAATTCCTTGCTTTCCATAACAGTGCGTGAGTTTATTGAAAATGTTAATACATAATCAGATGGCGGCGCAGCCAGAGTTCATACATGACCATATGAAACGCATCTAGTCTGACTGGAGGTGTATTCCACTTGAAATGCTTCTGGATCTGAACAACATAACTAGAAAATTAGAAGAGAGAGATATGAAAAATTAGAGTTTATCTTCTTCGGACGAGAAATACTCAATGTCTCATCAAAAAGAAAATTGCTCGATTTAGAAATTTGGAAGGGAGGGAAATAGGAAGTTCGAGGAGTGATAAGAGTTTGTGGACTGCTCTCACTAAATTCACTTGATAATAAAGATTTTATTTGTCTACTTTAAGAGGGTATAACTATAACAGTTAATTAGTTTAAGGGGTTACTCCCCTCCAGTTTCGTGATATTAAGACGCAGGTTACTCTATCGTACAGATATGATGATAGAATCACAAGCAATTCTCTACATTATTGTATGATATATTATGCTCTTAAATGCCCCAACATAAAACAAGTAGTATGAAGAATGATATAACTGAAAACTGAAAAGAATAGATGTCAAACTTCCAACTTCTTACACTAGGATAAGTAACTTCAGTACTATCCCCACAATTTCTCATCAAATTGTTATAACATTTAGAAGTTGAGAAAATGAACTATAGTACTTTTATTGATCGTACCTTCACCAAGTTCTGATTCAATGTCATGAAATGTTTCTCGGATATGCTTTTGAGAATATCTTTGAGAAGATAAACATCAGTTTCCTTCAGTATAACAGAAAATTTCCTCCAATCCAGAATATCATTAAAAGGCAGGTCATAATAGTTTGACATGATAACTGTAGAAAGACGGACAAGAACTTCCGTTAGGGAACAGCATTTAAAGACAAACAAGGGACATGGAGAACAGCATATTTTTCATGTATGGCAACTAATAGCACAATTTTATGTGAAATATAACCGAAAGTCTGAGGTAGCCACATAAATAGACAGACAAGAAGCAGATCATTCTTTTGAGACTAGTTCTACATAACTTTCTCCGTTATGAATGGCAGAAATGGCTGAAGCGAAACATTAGAAGGTAATACGTAAACTACCATAGAAGGGAATGTGCAGAACTACAATCCCTTTACAAGCTATCTGCAGGTAAAAGATACTTAGATGCAATACCGGGCTACCAACATAATTCAGTAACTGGTGTGGTGAGGTGCACTAGAGAAGGGGTCTCTTTTCCTTGACCATTTTCTTTTCTTTCTTTATTTATTTTCTAAATTTTCTTCTATGAAATAGATTAGCTTCTCATTCCCTGGTTTGTGCAGCAAATGAAATTTGATAAAAGAATATATCCACACTTTTGTCAAGAGCAAAAGTGGGAGTTGGACCAAGTTGGTTAATTACTTAGCAAAATCAAAATCCGTTGGGCGGCCAACAATTATATTCATGTTACTCTGTATTGGAGTCTGGAGACTTTTTCCAACAGTCAGAATAGTTTTCTGGGTGCAAAAAAATAAATAAACGCGGGCAGTACTTGCAGAAGAAGTATAAACAAATTGATCAAACGAGGGGGTAACTAACTAAGCTATGGACAAACAGACAGAATAAATAAAAAATTTGCAGAGAACAGAACATAAGAAGTTGTAGGTTTCCACTACCAGATATGGTTTACCTGGAACACACCCATAGTGGATTGAGTCTGCGATACGACTGCTGCCGATAGGCCCATGAGGGCACAAACAAAACTTGGATTTATAAAGTTTCTCCATGTATACCACTTGCCCAGTCGCTCCAAGGTCGACTCTGCTGTTCTGGATGTCAAGTTCAGTATCATTGTCCCACGTAGCTATTAATTCAATTTTCAATCTAGAATCAGAACGACCAGCCCAGAAAGCAAGGGTGTTCCTGCAATATTTTCATTGACATGAATTGAAATTTCCGTTTCTGATGGGTGAAATAATTCCAGTTTTTAAGCAGAGACTAATCTGTTGGATTGATTCAGAAAAGAAAAAAAAAAACGTGGAACTACCTATTCTTGATGTCATTCCCTCCTGGAGGGTGAAAAAATGGCAGCTGCACTTGGGGGAGAGCAACATCCTTATGTGGAATATAATCATCGTCGTCATAACTTGATGGACAAACCACTCGTATCGAATTTTTCACCAGATGTGGAACTCCTTTGGTAGCCTTCACTCCGATATCGTGGCAAGTCACAAAAAAGTGATCAGCACCCAAGGTTCTGTTCCAGTAAGGGTACTTAAACTTTAGGCGCTCCACGTACTTCTCTACTTCATCCATCATTCGCTCGTTTGTCAACCCCTGCATAATTCATATGCGCATTACAACTCATAGGAAACCAGGCTAGGTAACTGCCACCACGACTACAACACTTGAATGTTATACAAACATACACCAACACGATACGGTATTCCAGAATCTATTGTAAATATATGAAGAACTTAATTTTAAAGCAAAATTAACGTGTGAAGTGATATGAACTGATAGGTGACAAGAGTCATAAATAAACAGGGTTGTTCAATGATTAGAGCATCTTCAATGGGGAATGGGCCAGAGCTGATGTGGTAGTGATGTGGCACACGGGGTTGCTTATAAGCAGCGGTCTTATACCATTTAAGAACGTGTAAAACACCAATTTCATCCTCATAATTATCTTCTTTCTTGAATAGTTTCTAAAGTAAGAAGAAAAAAATTACTTAGCAGTCTTAGAAATATTAGAAATCCTCAGATATTATAAAAACATTGAAATTAGTTTCTTAATTTTACTTAATTATTATATTAATTTAGAGATTAAAGTGATAAATATTCAATACTTCAATAGGAAGTATTAGAAATATTATAAATCATGTTAAATAATCATCAAATATTAAAAAGAATTTAAATTAATTTCTTAATTGCACTTAAGTACTATATCAACTTAGAGACTAAAGTGATAAATATTCGATACTTCAAAAATTACTTCGTTTGAGAACAATTCGAATCTAATAGTGAAACTGATCTTATTGAGCAATTATCTGCAATACGACAATAATTAGTTATATTACACTATTACGATTGAATAACGAAGCTCGCACTCGAAAAACATTTCAACAATTTGTAAATCGGCATTGAACAATCGATTCAACTAATGCCGAAACTCTCTCTTAGGAAGGAAGAGAACAGTAGAAGAGAACGTACTCTGCCTCGCATTTTGTGGCAAGAAATAGGAAGGAAGAAGAGGTGAGCTCGACGAGGATCATCGGTGAAGAAACGGCTCTCTCTGATGTTCTTGAAGAAGTAGCCTTCGCTGGCGTATTTTCCGGTGAGTTTCCTCGGCGTGTGGAAGTAAATTTCCGGATCTCCGTCGGGATACACGAACACCTTGAACTCCTCCTCCATCCTGTCGTAGTCCAAGCGGAAGGCCTCCTCCGGCGAGTGGAACACGCCGGAGGAGAACGGCGGCGCGCGGTGCGCATTGAAATCGAGCTTCGGTGAAAGGAGAGGGCGTGAGTGGCGTGAGATTGGATTCGGAAAGAGAGAAGAGAAGAGGAAGAGGGAGGAACCTGGAGGAGAGAGAGTAGTTGCGCGGAGAAGACGAAGATCGTGAGGAGATAGAAGGCGTAGAGGACGATGTAGACGGTGGTGGAGAGGTATGCGCAGCCGAAAGAAACGCGAGGATGATTCCGGAGCACCAAGTTTGGAATGGGAAACGGGTTTTCTCGGGGAAGTCGCATTGTGGCGGGAAAATGAAAGTCGTTGTAACGGTCTTTTCCTCTTCCGTTTGTTGAAGGTTAGTAATGGAAGGAGTGAAAGTGAACACGAACTATCATTTTTCCTGTGAAGAAGAAGGTCCAGTGGGCTCTACTGATTGTACACGTGATGGCTGAAGTAGATGAGCCCAATCACACTGTCTAGGATGAAATGATTGACTATGTTTTCGAGCTATTATTTATTAAAACATTAAAAAATATATATATACAAAATACAGGAGATTAGTCAAATAAGCAGAGGATTGAGTTATCAAGTTAGCTATCATAATTTAGGTTTTTCTCGTTGTAACAATTATAAATTTTTTACAAACAAAAAATAGTATCCAAGAAGCTTGCAATTTTTAATAAATTTTAATCTATAATTAATAATGTATTTAAAAAAAAAGTATGTCGCGAACGTTTTTAATAATAATAATATTATTATTATCTCCAAAGATACATATAAATAGCAATAATCAAAAGTTCATAACATTATTTATAAAAAAAAATAAAGAAATGCCGTTATATTTCTCTTATTCATCTTTAAAAATAGAGCTACATTAATTATATATATATATAGATGAAGGATATAGATTAAGGTAAATTTGCTTCATTCAATAATTTGTATTCTACAACAAATTTCAACAATTCAACCATTGAATTTAAAGTTCTTAATGCATAAATCTAGTTTGCAAAATTTTTTAAAAATTTGAAAATTATTTGATACTCCATTTCATTTAATTCAAATTGACAGATAATCACAAAATTATTTTTATACATTGATTTGAATTAATGAAATGAAGTATCTAATAATTTTTTATTTTTTAAAAATTTTGCAGATTTGATCTATGTATTAAGAACTTAAAAATCATATCATCGTTAAAATTTGATATAGAACATGAATTATTAAAGAAAGTAAGTATTAGTAAACTTACTCTTAAAGTAAACATATCCCTCCTTATATATATATATATATATACATATATTTCCTTTTACTTATTGTGCATTAATTATTTTTATTTCCATTTTAAATTATTGCGCATTTGATATCATTTGGTACTAGAGTCAAACTCGAAAAAAAAATTTCTTGGTAACATACATGTATTCTTCTACTTATTTTAACGAGCTTAGATAAGATTCTAAAAAGATAAATAAATATATTACAAGGTTAACTGATTATCATAATAAATTTATTGAAAACTATCGTCGACTTAATAAAAGTATAAATAGAATCGTAATCAAAACTATAGATATTCAACTTACTTTAAATAACATTTATAACGTCGCATAAGAAATTCGAAAGTGAAAAAGTTGTTTAATTTTTTTTATTGTGCATAAACTTAAATTAGGGCTTTCTACTTGTAAATTGATTAAGTTTTTTGAAAAATAATTTTTTCGTTAATTGAACCCATCCTAAAGAGAGGTTAATGTACTGTTTAATCATTGGATGTAGGTTGTAAGTCCAAAGGAGTAGTAGTAAATCATGTGGTGGTTCTAATAAGTCTAAGTCCTTAGCCTTAAGAATAATAAAAATATTGTATAACGGAAAAGAAAAGTGAGATGTAAACTTAATTTTTGAACAAGAAGAAAAAACTAATTCAAATATAATTCAACATAAGCCAATAATTCCATAAATAAAACATCAAATTTCTAAATGGACTCTTCTTAAGTTAGAAATATCGTCCATGTATAAAACTTCATGAAATGATAAGTTTAAAATTGCATATGTGATTAAAATCATTGAAAAGGAAGTTGAATTAAAATCTATTCATGACACCGTACTCTTATTTTCTAAACAACTAATTGTAAATTATATATAAAAAAAAATTATAGATGCCTCCACATATGATTTATCCAAGTAGCTCATAAAACCTTTGTTCAAGCTAGGAATAAATATCCCGACATATGTAGCCTTATGAGATAATAGATCTATAAAACTTGAAAATCAAATCTCAGTTGTGTTTGAAACTAATTTACATAAAGGTCAAATCTAAATAAATAATTACCTTAATTATTGGATAGTTATTAAAAGTTTCATAACACTTCTAATAATATTATGTTAGACATAAAAATGTTGGAAGATGAATGGAATCAAAATTCATTTCCAACTACTATAGTATATAGAATATTTTATAAGGAAATAAAAACTCAATTAGTCCCTGGAACATAGTTAATGTCTCCAAAAGATAAAACTACTTTATTTATGATAAATCTAGAAAAAAGGTAAATGCAACGATTTCTAAAACTTTAAGACATAATGAAATAACAAATGATTTAAAATGGAAACTTTAAGATCTTTTAACCCGTAAACATGTCTTAATAGACATCATAGTTAAATATAAATTAAGAACAATAGAAGTAGCATTTAGTCCACTAAGAAGATCTACGTCTTTTAGAACTCTTGTATCATCTTTATCAACTTTTAATATGGATAGAAGGTTTTTAAAGATCTAATAATACAATATATCAAAATATTAATTTAAAAGGTATTAAATAAGACCTTATAGTTTCAATACCCAAATATGAAAATGAATTTGCTATTACCCATAATTCACTTACACAATTTGATTAACATTAAGATGAAAGTGTAATAAATGTTATAAAAAAGTTTGAAATAAACAAGTACTTATACCAAGGCAAGAATTTTATATACTATATATATACAAAAAAAATTATTCTTTATAATTTTTAATAAAAAGGGATATGTAAATTTTTAAAAAATTTAAAAATTATTTAATATTTTTTTATTAATTTAAATAAAAAATAAAAAATATTTGTATGATTATCTATAGATTTAAATATTAAAATAAAAATAAGTAAAAAAGTAGAAATGTCTTAAAAATATGTATATAAAAATATTTTATATATTGTTATAAATATATATTTTTTTTCTTCAGTTTTCTTTTCTAATTTCAAATTTCAAATTTTAAGCAGTTTGTCCTTTTTCTTTTGACCGTCCTAACTCGTAACGCAGGATTCAACAGGACAGGAGGGCAAAATAGGGTTTGAATGTTGTTACTTGTTACTGTTTGTTTGTGTGAGTTACTCCCCACATCCTTGTTAAGTTTTTTTCCCATTTCTTTGTTGCCGTTGGCGTGTATTGTACTAGCTTAAAGCCCCACGACACGTCACACAGCTCCCATATCATTCATTTCAATTCAACTTCTCCAAACGCCAAAAGCAATTGAAATTGGAATTTAGAATAGACGGTGAGGGAGGCAGAGCCCAGACACACGACACAGCAACGGGTGAGTCCCCACTCCCAATCCAATCAATCGTTTGAAAACCCTAACCTAGCTAGGGTTCCACCGATCGATATCCATGGCGGAAGAGGCACCTGCTCCTCCTGCATCCGCTACTGCTCCTCTCGGTTCGACCGTGATCTCCCTCGTCAACCGCCTTCAGGACATCTTCGCCCGCGTCGGAAGCCAATCCACCATCGACCTCCCCCAAGTCGCCGTCGTCGGCAGCCAGAGCAGCGGCAAGTCCAGCGTCCTCGAAGCCCTCGTCGGCCGCGACTTCCTCCCCCGCGGCAACGACATCTGCACGCGCCGCCCCCTCGTCCTCCAGCTCGTCCAGACCAAGCGCAAGCCCGACGCTCCCGACGACGAGTACGGCGAGTTCCTCCACCTCCCCGGCCGCAGATTCCACGATTTCTCCGACATTCGCAGGGAGATTCAGGTCCGACTTCTGGAATCAAATTCTTTATCTCAAACTTCTTTGTTTAGCGAGCAACTTATCGTAATCGATTACTAGGTGCTGATCGTTTAGGTCATGACTTCTGAGATAGAAAAATAGATTATTATGTGCCATTCAACTCTCTTTTCTGTATTATAACATTGCTTTGGAAGGGCGAAGAGAATCTTTGACGTCGATTGTTACCTCTTTCAATCATGAAGATTGTTTTCTCTATCTAGAAGTGCAGGCTAGCTTGCCTCACATAACGCCGACACTGCCAAATTAGGTTGAGTTTAGGTCTGATTCAGTTCAATAGTGATTTAGTGTGCTCATGTGCATATATTTGGAGTTGATATATTGAGTTTGTGGCTTCCAATGCTTCTCCAATCATAAAGTGGGACTAATCGATATTTTAGAGACTTGTTCCTTTGATACTAGTGAAGTGAAGTGGAGTACAATTGATGAATTGAAAGTAAATTAGTTGAATGAACTTTGAGGAATATTGTTTCCTCATTCGATACTCTAGCTTTCAGAGTGCCATCAAGATTATTACCCTATCAACACTTCATACTGTCTTGGTTGGAGGGTCTGTTATCTGTAAGAACTGGTTGATTTTCACGCTTTAAGCTTGAAAAGAGGTTGAATCTAAGATTTTTCATCTGTTTCATCTGTATAGAATGTGACACTCTTGCTGGTGATGTGCTCATAAGATATTAAGTGTACTAGTTTAATTATTATTATTATTATTATTATTTTCCTTTTTATCTTTCTGTTCACTTTTATATCCTTACATCCTTTCTGCAGGCTGAAACTGATAGGGAGGCTGGGGGAAACAAAGGTGTCTCAGACAAGCAGATTCGACTGAAGATTTTTTCACCAAATGTTCTTGATATCACACTTGTAGATCTCCCAGGAATTACGAAGGTTCCTGTTGGTGACCAGCCTTCTGACATAGAAGCTCGAATCAGAACAATGATCATGTCATATATCAAAACTCCCACTTGTCTCATTCTAGCTGTCACCCCAGCAAATTCAGATTTGGCTAATTCAGATGCTCTTCAGATGGCAGGGATTGCTGATCCTGATGGTGGGTTTTTGCTTTCCATGTGTCTGAAACTTTTTAATCTTTTCACATCTTGCTGATTAGTTTCTAAAGCTTCTTATATCTGTTGCAGGTAATAGAACAATCGGTGTAATCACAAAGGTTTCTCTTTTAATTTTTTAACTGGCACTTATTTGTGAAATTTGTTTTTAGCTGTTGCGATGTTCTGACAATGTTAGGCACTTATTATTTGGAATGTAGTTGGATATCATGGACAGAGGTACTGATGCCCGGAATCTGTTACTAGGAAAAGTTATTCCTCTCCGACTTGGTTATGTAGGCGTTGTAAATCGTAGTCAGGAGGTAATGATGTTGTTATACTATGGTTGTAGAGGCGGTCTTTAAGACTACTTTAACCTTTGCATTTGTTCTTTTAGAAAGATATATTTTTTTAAATTCCTAGTCACTGTATACTCTCACCATACATAATAAAGGTACTTTGCAAATGCAAATAAATATAAACATGTAATTTGATTGATTGGCTTGGAGGTCAATATGTATGCTGGTTGCTGAAATATATTTTATATATTGTTTTTCATTGTATTAGGATATTCAAATGAACCGGAGTATAAAGGATGCTCTTGTTGCTGAAGAGAAATTTTTCCGCAGTCGTCCTGTAAGGAAGTTCTTATGCATAGTTAATAGTTAGTTTTATTTTTTTATTGTTCTTTTTTGCTTACATTTACTTTTTTTGATCTATTTATGTTATTCATAGGTATACAGCGGTCTAGCAGATAGTTGTGGTGTTCCTCAACTAGCAAAGAAGTTGAACCAGGTAGAGTCTTCATGACACTGAAAACATGAATATTCTTTTTGTTATATATTTTACTGTTTATAATGCTGGCCTTATTTAGAGCTTTCAGTTTCCCGTATTCATGCAGAGTAAAAGTCCTCTTCAGTCTTCACACTTTTTCCTTCTTTACTTGACACTATATAGTTATGTTTTTCCTTTATGGAGAGGCAGTCAAAATCATTGAATTATATCCTTTAACTATGGGAAGGGAGAGGACGAAGGAGTGTCGAAAGAATGAACCTCCTTTTCTTTTTGGTGCTGTGAAAGAATGAACTTTATTTGTTGCTTGGGTTAGGGATAGATTAGTTTGAAGAGTGTATGAATATAGCCAAATTACATACCATGTCAACATTGGAGATGAGAAATTGTTAGATAGTTCTTGGATAGAACTGAGTTCCAAATCCTGTAAAAGATTAAACCATTATGAATTCATACCAATATTGAGGTTTCTGGACTAATGCATGCCAATATGGCATGCACATTTGCCTGTCCATATTTTTGCAGATTCTAGCACAACATATAAAGGCTGTGCTACCTGGGCTGCGAGCACGCATAAGCACTTCACTAGTCTCTGTTGCGAAGGAGCATGCAAGCTATGGAGAAATCACCGAGTCCAAGGCATGTGTTAATACCTGGGATATGTTTGTTAAATACTTAAATAGTTAACTGTATTGTATAACTATTCTGCTTATTGTATTAAAAGGCATCATTTTTTCCACTTTGGCTGGAATTTTGTGCTGCGTTATTTATAACTGTTCATTGCTGACAGGCTGGTCAGGGTGCACTTCTCCTGAATATTCTTTCAAAATATTCCGAAGGTTTCTATCCAACCATCTAGTTTCTTATCTTTTATTTTTTTTTCCCTTGTTTTTGTTGATTGGTATTCCACATAATATTACCTTTCACAATTAAGTCAATGCTATCTCCATTTTCTTTCTTTTTGAAAACAGCATTCTCCTCCATGGTTGAAGGAAAGAACGAGGAGATGTCCACATCTGAGCTATCTGGTGGAGCACGAATCCATTACATTTTCCAATCCATTTTTGTCAAAAGTTTGGAGGTATATAATCCTGTATTTACATATGGTAATGTTAAAAATAGATCTGCTTTCACGCTAATTAAAGATGGAAAATGAGCAGTCTATAATTAACCCATTAGCTCTGCCAACTTTTTGCATTTCATGGACAGATGTGCAATTATGCAATTATTTATTATTATTATTATTTATATATTTTTTAATTAATAGTATTCAAACATTGTTAAACAAACAATACTATTGAATATTCCTAATCATATGTATGATTTAACTATGAAATAAGTAAAAAAAAATGTTTTCAAAACACATTTTCCTCTTAATTTTGTAAATGTTAAATGCTGCATTCCGAATGTTATTATTATGGTGTAAGCAAATCACACGGATTATAATTCAATATATTTCAAGGGAAATAATAATTTTATTATTATCAGTTATATGTTATTGAGTTTTAAGCAGTTGGAGAAATATGCTAATATCCCTTTCCTTATTGTGTAATTTAATGCTATCATGAAGGAGGTGGATCCATGTGAAGACCTGACTGATGATGACATCCGTACTGCCATACAGAATGCTACTGGGCCTAAATCAGCATTGTTTGTTCCAGAAGTAGGTCTTTTTACGCTTTCTAAAATAAAGAAGAGATAGAAATTATATTTTAAAATTTCTAAGCTTATTTTTTTAAAATGTTTTGCTATACTTTGTGAATCCAAATTCACATAAAATATGTTTTTAAAGAAATACCTACACTTGATTATGATTGTCTATTTATTTCCATGTAATAAGGTGCCATTTGAAGTCCTTGTGCGAAGGCAAATATCCCGTCTATTGGATCCAAGTCTTCAGTGTGCCAGGTTTATATATGATGAATTAATAAAGGTAGGAACAGGTCTTTAAAGCTTTCCATTTTTGTTGTCTTGCTTTTTCAAATATGTGCCTAAACAAAATTCCTTTTCAGATCAGTCATCGCTGTATGGTGACTGAACTGCAGCGATTCCCTTTCTTGCGGAGGCGCATGGATGAAGTTATTGGGAACTTTTTACGAGAGGGCCTTGAACCCTCGGAGAACATGATTGCACACATCATTGAAATGGAGGTATGCTGAAATATAGCTTGTCTGAAGTATAAATGTATTCTTTCTCCATCCTCTACCTATCTTTTGTTGCTTAAAAGAGCTCAACAAAATTTGGTTGCTGGGCCAAAACTTAGTTTCACTTAAGTCATACCCAAATTGTGTTTCAAGTCATTTCTAGTCTGAAACTGCTAAAAGTTTCTTTCTTGATGTTGCTTTCAATTTTCAAATTTCAACTATAATTATGTCGTCAACTCCTTGTTTTCCTTAATGTTATTCCACATAACTGAATGAGGAAATTATTTCCAATGGAGTTGTTATGATGTTAGGCTGTTGGTGTGTAGGATGAGCCTTCATTTCTTAGAATGCATCACCCGTTTAACCAATGGGGTTGGGATTTCTTAAGTTTCATCAGAACTATTATGAGTTTACCTAATGCTTGTTTAGTTGGCTGAGCATGGCTTGGGATGCTGTGCTTGAACATTGGTGAATGGTGGCCTTTCTCTTGAAATAACTTGGAAAAATCATCTCAATTAAAGATATTCGTAAGTTTTTTGGTGTCTAGTAGAAATCATTGACATGCCATGAGTCTGTCAGTTGGCTTATTTGTGGAAATTGTGATGGTCAGTCTATTAATAGAGTGAATCATAAATTTCAAGGTTCATGATTTCTTATTTAAAATTTTAAACTACTCAATTCTGCAGATGGACTACATAAACACTTCCCACCCAAATTTTATTGGTGGAAGTAAGGCATTAGAAATTGCTGTGCAACAGACCAAGTCTTCTAGGATTGCTATACCAGTTTCTAGGCAGAAGGTATACTTATTACGAGATTTGATTCCCATATATGCCCCATATTTTTCATTTGAGACATGTTTTAATTTATGCTAGCCTTCTTTTTTTATAACTTTCTTGTTTATCTCCCATAGGATGCTCTGGAATCTGATAAGGGATCAGCCTCGGAAAGAAGTGTGAAATCTCGGGCTATTCTTGCAAGACAAGCTAATGGAGTAGTTACTGATCCGGTTTGTAATTTGTATAGTTTAATTGACAATTTTTTTTTTCCTTAACATCTTAGTTAGTGGGAATCCATGTAAGGGCCACTAAATTTAGTATTTCACTGTTTTTACCCAATTCTTATTATATAAATGAAAAACAGGGTGCCCGAGCTGCATCAGATGTTGAAAAAATTGTTCCCTCTGGTAATTTGTATATTCTATTTAATGTTTTGGTTCATTGAATTTATTTTATTACGTTTTTGTTCTTAATTTTTTCTTTTGGGTGTTGAATCTTAGTCAAGTGATTTTGATGCATCAATGAGCTTTATTATTATTTCAAGATATTTAATTTTTAATGCTTGATAATTTTTTCAGGAAACACTGGTGGATCAAGTTGGGGTATCTCATCCATTTTTGGTGGAAGTGATAGCCGTATGCCTGTGAAGGAGAATATAGCTAGTAAGCCACATACTGAACCAGTACACAGTGTGGAGCATTCATTCTCTATGATCCATTTGAGAGAGGTATATATATGTGTTACACATCAGCATGATCAATATGTTGTTCTATAGTATAAATTTAATAATGTGCTTTGATTTTTGTAGCCACCTCCTATCTTGAGGCCTTCAGAGACCAATTCAGAGACCGAAGCTGTTGAAATAACAGTGACAAAGTTGCTTTTAAAATCATACTACGACATTGTCAGAAAAAATGTTGAGGATCTTATCCCCAAAGCAATTATGCATTTCTTGGTACTTTACTACCTCATATCCTTCTTGTAGGATTTGCAAAGTATTGCAATTATAAATCTAAAGCTAGTAATCTCTTGCCGTGTTTTATGTTGCATACAGAAAATTAGTGATTTTGTCTTAGTTTTTAAAATCTGTTTCATAAAGCAATTTTCAAAAACTTATTTTTAGAGTGTAGAAGTGAGGGAAGATGATGCGAGTGTAGGAAGAACATGAGTGATAAAAAACTGAAAAATAGAAAACCAAAATAACTTAAAAGATATTTTAATTTTTTATTTATTTTAAAAACTAAAAAAGTTATTGGTTTTGAAGCTTATTTTCAAAAACTACACTTATTCAAATCTTTAGGCGAGCAAAAATACAAATGTACCCATTCTATTTTAGTGACACGTGTCCTTTTTAGGGATAAATTGGTCTTTCAGCAACTAACTTTTTCTTTCTTTCTTCTCCCTTAAATGCTTTTTTTTAAATAAATTTTTTTAATTTTTTAATTTTATTTTTATCTTTGATTGATTTGACAGCCTCCCATCCCATTATTCCCATCTCTCTTTACTTTTTTGATTTCATCTTTTTTCTCTCCTACGGAAAATGGTGAGTATGCTCAAAAAGTTTAAATCAAGTAGGTTTTATTTAGCAGGCAACTATTCTTTTGCACAGTCTCATTAATATAAAAACTGTGCAGTTCACCTTTTTTGAGAGATGGAAGGTGGGGTGGAGAGAGGGTGTTTACTGATGTTCTTAATATTTAATTTGATTATATACACTGCCATTTATTTTGGGAGTGGTTGAGGATACTCAATTTTCATGCATTCAATAAATACTGGTGTCTGTCCTTTGCTAAATTATATCAATATGACAATATCAGGTAAACAACACCAAGAGGGAGCTGCATAACGTCTTTATTAAAAAGCTATACAGGTAACATATAGTGGTTGTGGCATGCTAATTCATTCTGATGCATACTTCTCTATTGTTGATTGCTGATTGTACTTTGTATGTTTAATGCAAACCAGAGACAACCTGTTTGAAGAAATGTTGCAAGAACCTGAGGAGATAGCCATGAAAAGAAAACGCTGTCGAGAACTTCTCCGAGCTTATCAGCAGGCTTTTAAGGTTGTTGTCAGTTGTAATACTTCTAATCGGAAATGTCTTACCAATTTGTGTGTTACTTGTCATGTTTGGTTATATTTATTTAAATTGGTTGCTTTATCATGGTGGAGAAATTCACAATCTTTGTTGCTCCTCTAGTGAGAGGAGTTGGTTATTGAAAGAGTAGAGAGAATAACAAATCCTAGCTATTGAACCATACATGATTAGTCAAAATTAAAAGTTGTGTTCAGTTAGCAAAGTTACCTAACTTTGTTTTAATCTTAAATAATTCATGTATCATCTAATAGTTGAGATTTGTTCCTTACTTTCCCAATAAACCACAGCTCTAAAGAAAAATATGGTTCTTGATTCTAATTAATGACTTCTGACTATTTGGTTCTCACGTAGTGTGCTCACTCATGTATTCTATTTGAAACACTGATTTTTTGCGAATAGCAAGTCAATTGCAAGGGTTGTAGGTTGCAACATGATGTGACACTTATTTTTTGAATGCAAGTTTATGGTTGCAATATGACGTGATGCTTCTTTTCTACATGCTTGCTTTTGACTTATCTACGATGCTGAGTCTCATTACTTCCCGATGAATATGGTCCAAGATTTATTTGTTTTATCTAGGCTTTTCTACCTAACAGAACCTGTAACAAAATACAGCCTATGTCTGATAATTATATGTGTTGTTAGGACTTGGAAGAACTCCCCATGGAAGCTGAAACAGTTGAAAGAGGATATAGTTTGCCAGAAACAACTGGTCTGCCTAAAATTCATGGATTACCAACATCATCCATGTACTCTACAAGCAGTTCTGGAGACTATTATGGAGCTTCTCCGAAGTGTTCCAAGTCAAAAAGGTCTTCCCATTCTGGGGAGCTTCAATCACCATTGCATGCTAATGCAGATTCCAATGGGAGCGGAAGGCAATTCGTGTCAGGGTTTTATCCCACGGTTGATGCATGAGCTGTAGGTGAATGAGCTCATTAGTGGAAGTAGTTTAACTCAAGGCATTTTATTCATTTGATTACACTGCAACTTTCGGGATTTAGAATTCTGCCTCCCGGAGCTGGACTGCATGAAAATTACTCTATCTAACTAAAATGGTCTTGAATGTTGGCCACTGCTTTCTTTTTCATAAGTTCACTTTTTCTTCTCATATAGCATTGGCATTATTTACAAGGCTCCAGAGAAAGAATAATAGGAGCAGATGATCTTTCACCTTTTTGAGAATCGGCTTTCTCTCTATATTCATGTATATGACCTTACTTTTTTGGTTAGATATTTTTGTTGTCAATCGACAATTATGTAGTTCGAGTTTTGTTTTGTTTCCTTTTTGATTTTGGGTGAATTACCTTTCAGGGGTAGTAGCAGTGGCTATTATATACATTTACAAGCAGCGTTGAGATACCAATTTTAGATAAAATGTAGGGATTTTCCCTGGTGATTGTTATTGCAATTACTATATTATTATTAAATGAAATATATGTGAGTTTTATTAAAGATATTAAGTTTTAGTTTAATTTAAATAAAGTACATTGCTTGATACTAATACTTTTGTTGTCATAAATTTTATTAGTGAACTGAAATTCTTTCCTCTTATGCTTGTTTCACATTAAACGTGTTGTTGAAATTAAGCATATATATTCACTATAAGAATACTGAATAGTGCATATGTGAGAGTATTGGACCTCATACTTTACTGGGTGAAGTTTCTAAGCCTTCTTAATTTGATGAAAACACTGCTTAGGGAGTACCATGAGGTGCAGTTGGAATAGCTTAGTGGACTCGCGCAAATAAGAATTTAAGTATGATAGTCGGCATTTGTCAAATTGTTAGGTAGGACTTGGTATTATGAACCACCAGCAACAATTAGAAAACAGAATTCTAGAGGCAGGTGATGAAACACAAGGAAAAGGGAAAAAATAAAATATAAAGATAATTTTTTCTTTTTGCTTCATCTGCTTCACACGTGAGTTCACTCCATTCTCTTTCGTCTTTGTTTCACTTTATTTTATTTTGTTGTCGTTGGCGCAACATCCATTGGTTATTGTGTTAAGTTTGTAACTTCATATATAATGATTCGGTTGTTATTTTTTTTTTCACAAAAAAATTTAACACCACAAAAACTTGTTTTTGTTTTGCGAAATGACACACCTATCTCCAATTACCACACAATGGAAACATATTTCCATCTAAAGTAGTTTTGTTAAAAAAAAAGTGTGGGTGTGAGGAAAGAAAGAGAGAGGTGTGAGAAAACACGAGTTCTTGCTCAAAACTTGCATGGGGCCCATTGCATCAGCGTTAAATGCCTCGTCACTATTAAGCATTTACGAGTTGCATGATGTGAAGGACGAGAGAAAAAAATCAACCTCTTTCTCTATTACTCCCATTTTCTTCATAGATTTGAAGAGAAAATTGTCTCATTTTTTTTATTTTTTTATTTGCTCTAAACAGTTTGTAAGTGTATTCTGAAGAAAGAAAATGAAAAAGAAAAAAGAAATCGAAAATATGTTTTAACATGTAGGGTTCAGGGTTTGTTAAAACTACGCATAGCACACTACTAAAAGAAATTAGATATAGTAAAATTATAAAATAGTATAGGATTAACATAAAGATTTGCTATAAAAAATTTAAAAACGTTATTCTTCTCCCCGCAAGAAACAATCCAACTCAGCCCAACGTGAATACGTCAAAATCACAGAAACACCAATCGCCAGCCGCCACGTCTCGCCCCAACCGTGACCACCTCAAACAATTGCAACTCTAAATATAATGTCAGAGCATCTACGAGTTGCTTATAAGCAACTTTCTGTGCCATATCACTGTCACATCATCTCTGACCCAATTTATGTCTTGCTTAAATTTTAGCAGAGTTGCATGTAGAATTTAAGCAACCCATAAAGTGAGCCAGAGATGTGACAGTGATGTGACACAGGGGTTGCTTATAACCAGCCCCCATTGAAAATGCTCTTAGAAGTGTTGCTTACCATTTATATATTATTTAATTATCTATTTTTCCCAATATTCTTTATATGAAAAATGCCTCGCCGTGGCTCCACCGGTGAGCCTCTCCATCTTTCTCTCCCACTTTCTATATATTAATATTCAATTTTGTCAATCAGATATTTTCCACCTTGCGACAAGTATAATGCATGTCAATCATGCATCATTGTTGTTGCCTGTGTTGTGTATCATGCATGCCAATGATTATTATACTTATTATGTGATCTTTATGTAAAGAGTAATGATACATGTATAAATATTGACATAATAATTTTTACAACTTTTTTTCTCTATCGTATCATTTATTGCATATTTGCATTTTAAATTTCTCTTTCTTTCTCCATCATACGAATTGTTGTACATCATTTCTTATACGTAAATCAAGCTTTTTTAGGCCTGTTTACTTTTGTTGCAGCCATGATATAGCCATCTGATCACAATTAAAGAATGCCTTTAAATTAGAAGAATAAAAACAATGTCTAGATCTGTGAAGAACATTCTGTTTGCTGGCCATATTGTGAGAATGCATGCTAAGTTGGCAGTTTTTATGTGAGTTTGACAAAGTGTGTTAGTGTTAGGAATATTTTCAAGTTAATAATGTGGTGATTTGTTTATAGAACGTGGATTTTGCATTATGTTTCTAGTTATGCCAATCATATTGAGTTATTGCTTATGTCTGCAGGAAGATCTGCATGCTCGTCCTGCTCAGAGGCCAGTTGTGAATGAATTTGATAGAAGAATAGGCTAAACTTGGCTGAAGCTTTAAGAATATAGAATGTATCTTGTGAAGAAGTATGTAGAATGATTTTGAAAATTTGTATCAATGAGAGTGGAGTAAAAAAAATTTGTACACCAAGAAAATCAATAACTAACCTACAAAATTTGTAACTGACACATGATTTCTTACCACCAACCGCATTAACAAGAATAAAAACATATTTTGATATGGTTAGTCCACATTGCCTCTCATGTTGAATTACCATTAAAAAAATTCAATTTCGGTAATGGAAGACGTTTAATTAGCATCGAACCACATTATTACAGTGGGTTTGGAAAAAGAGAAGTTTGAAAACCGAATATTTTTGAAGTAGAAAAAAGAGAATAAATAAATAAATAATAATTAAAAAAATGATTTAGAGGTAATTATAAGAGTGAATTAATTCAAAATTTATATACATAAAAATGAGTTTTTTTTTTGTTTTTTTGTGAAAGAGAGGGACTAAGGTTCCAACCAGAATTAATTAAATTCACGAGAGAGAAAAATTGAAGTTACCATCAACCATAACAGCTGAAGCTATAGAAGGAATAATAAAATTATACATTCTCAAGTTCTCCATAAGGATCTCTAATGATTAGCAAATTTATCCGTTATTTGATTAGCTTGCCGTAAAACATGATACCAACCAAGAACAACACCTCTATCCATAAAGGAATGGATATTATAAATCAACCTTGCACACGGATGATGTGCAGTACAATCTGAACACAAGTTAATAGTATTTTCAAAGTCTGCTTCAACTATGAAGTACCTAAATTCTCTCCATCAGGCCACTGCCATCCCAATGTAAATTTACTATTAATTAATAGTATAGATATATTTACTATTTTTCCCATTTCACTATTACTTTGTTTTTTTCTTATGTATTTTTTTTTCATCAGTTCGATTATCATATTTAATTTTCTTTTTCTGTTTTTTCTCTCTTGTTCCTCTTTCTATCTTAATCTACCTAAAATAAGATACATCTTTATCATTTTTTTTTCTTTTCCTCTCCCTTCCTTTTTTCACCCCTCTCTCTCTCTCTCTCTCTCTCTCTATATATATATATATAGAGAGAGAGAGAGAGAGAGAGAGAGAGAGAGAGAGAGAGAGAGAGAGAGAGAGAGAGAGAGAGAGAGAGAGAGAGAGAGAGAGAGAGAGAGAGAGAGAGAGAGAGAGAGAGAGAGAGAGAGAGAGAGAGAGAGAGAGAGAGAGAGAGAGAGAGAGAGAGAGAGAGAGAGAGAGAGAGAGAGAGAGAGAGAGAGAGAGAGAGAGAGAGAGAGAGAGAGAGAGAGAGAGAGAGAGAGAGAGAGAGAGAGAGAGAGAGAGAGAGAGAGAGAGAGAGAGAGAGAGAGAGAGAGAGAGAGAGAGAGAGAGAGAGAGAGAGAGAGAGAGAGAGAGAGAGAGAGAGAGAGAGAGAGAGAGAGAGAGAGAGAGAGAGAGAGAGAGAGAGAGAGAGAGAGAGAGGGGGGAAAAAAGGGAGAGAGAGGGAAAGAAAAAAAAAAAAAAATATATATATATATATTTTTTTTTTTTTTTTCTTTCTATCAACTCAATTATATTGACTTATGTATTGTGCTAAGTTCCAACAAATGTCAGTGCTTTACGTAGTACGTGCATTTTACTCAGTGCTGGTTTAGTGGAAATCCACTCAATTATATTGATTAAACGAATCCTTACTAACTCAAAGCCGAAGTAGGATTTTTTTTTTACAAAATATAATTTTTTAAGGATTCAAACACAGAGAAGAAAGTCATAGGATGAAAACTTTTAAAAAAAAAAAATATTACCCAAATAGATAATATTTTGTTTAAAATTAAGCAAATTATCAAGTAAATTTTAAAATTTTGAGATATATTCACACTCAAAAGGCTAGTGTATGCATCTGAGAGAGAGAGGAAATAGGCGGAAAAATAATAGATGCAAAGAACAATGTAATGGAAAAAAAAAAGTGTGTGATGGGACTAGCAGCTAGTAAAAATTAAAATTAAATAAAATTATATATGATATCTCCTTTATAATATGTTGCCTTGTGCAACTTTTTCTTCTCCTTCTTCGGTATCGTTTATATATACGTTGTTCTATAATTGTTATTGTTCTTTTTTACTTTAGAATTAGATTCTTTGCTATCATTATTTCTTCCCTCGAAGATTGATTTTCATTCACACATTTGCATCACGATTCTATAATGGATATGCTTGATGTGTAAAATTTAATAAACCACGCATATCTTACATGGCTTCGTCGTATCCACAAAAAAGAAAGAAAGAAAGAAAGTCTCATCAATGACACATAATTTACAAGTTTGACATGGTATTTGCTTTAATTGAAGTGCTTTCCAACTATATTTTGACGTCAAGCAATTCATAGTAGTGTACTATATATAGGCATCACTAATAGCTTAATAAATCCGTGCTGAAATTATCTTATAATATTGAACTTTTGAACGGTAGTAGTTATAATAATGAATTCACGCAATAATTGATTTATTTTGACACAGGAATACACGTTCATGTCATGCATATCATTGTTTACCATTTATGGACCACCCATAGACTAATTAAAGTGTAGACTTACGGTGCTAATTATATACACACAGATTGTTGTCTCCTTTTTCAACTTGGTTACGTAAGTTATAGAAACGTTTTGTATTTCTTTGTAAGTTTGAATATTCAACATCTTCAAGTAGTTCGACCTAGTGCCACAATTAAAAAAATACTAAATCTTATAGACATGTATAAAAGGTAAATTACCTTTATCTTGTAATATTTTATACAGACTTATAGATTTGACTGAGGTTTTTAATAGAGGTTTTAGGTTTAAGCTGATTTCAAGCTAATACATTTTTCTTTTCAATAGTTTACTTCAGTTTTAGTTCCGATCCATTTATTTAAAAAGCTTGGTTTTTTTTTATCCCTATAAATCTATCATTTATTTATTAGATTTCGATTCTCATAATAACCAATTTAATTTTGTTTAGATTTTAATCCTATAATTTACTGCAAATTAGTCTTAGGATTGAGTTTGAAAAAGTAAGTGCTGACCAAAACATAAACAAAATAAATATAGCATGGAAAGAAAAAAAAAACAGAAAAACTATGAGGATTTTAAATGAAAGTTTTAAAATATTGGAATTAAAATTAAAATTGGGACATATGCATGCATGTATGTATTAAAACGTGGCCGTTGTTGATCCTCATCACATGCGAGGGATACACCAAAAGAGAATACAGTGGAATCCACCAAAAACAAGGACTTTATCGATAAAAAAAAATAAAAAAAATAAAATAGTGTCGGTGACTTTAGCATCATTAGTTGGCAATTTTAAAGTCCAAAACTAATAAATTGTGTTAGAAAAATAATTTTCCGGCAGCTTCCTAAAAGATCCCATTTTTACACATAGAACCACCGGAGCAAGAAAAAGAGTTAGAGTAATTACTAATTAGTAAAAGAAAATTATTTTCTCGTAACCTCCGTGAGTAGTAGCTGCTGGAAACCACCGTGCGCTGCCGGAGGCGATTTCCGGCGGTGGCGAAACCCTTCTTTTCTTCACCCTCCTTTCCTTTTCTTTTATTCTCCCTCTTGCTTTTCACACATTTGTCGTCGGCAACCACGACAGTCACGACAACCAACCACTCTTCTTCTTCAATTGCAATTTTATACTCAAAATAGAAATGAACCTCCATCTTTGATAAACAAACACAAATATCAAATCATTTAAATTAATAGCTTTTCTATATAACTACATCATGGATTGTACTTAAAATTAGAAGAACATCATCATGATCTTCCACAATACAGAAGATTAGTAGGAAAATTGATGTACCTGAACTCGTATTTGATTTATGCCCATTTTGAACTAATCCATGCAATCCTTAATACAGAAGCTAGCGCTAGGATACAATTGTGGTTATTCTACTTGAGCTCATCATCCGGTCAAGAAATAAGCATCATTAAGAACAACGACTTGAAATTAAGCTACTTGCCCTAACTAGAAAATCCATTTCAAGTTATTTGATGAATTTAGAAGTAACACTAATATCTTAAAAAATAGAGAAACAAACAATATGTTGATCCTCTAGCGAAGCTGAACATTGTTTCACGATGCATAAAACTGGTTGATAATTGTAAAATACATATATATATATATATATATATATATTATATTCAATTAACATAATTATTAATATATATTATGCTTTTAATTTTTTTTACTAAACACTTAGTTAAAAGATAATTTTATTTTAGAATTTATTAATTGTTTAAATATTATATATATTTTTTTAAATATTTTTCTTGGTTGAAATATTACAAGGAGAAAATAATTTGAAAAGATACAAGTCTCAAAAGAAATCATCGCTCCAAACTGTATATAACCGTTGCTCAAGTTATGGAAATTCACTTGGAGTTATGACAAATTCATTCAAAGCAAGTAAAGACAAATAACACACCTGGATGCATTTACATGATCACTTAGAGCAAGCAACATGGATGCTCTGAGCAACTGGATTCACACCCAAAAATCCATAAGAAATTATTATAAATTTAGGATTTCTAGAGATTTTTGTATTGATTTTTCAAGAGTAAAACATTTTTCTTAGCACAATTTTAGAGAAATTAGAGAGAGTTTTTGTTAGATTATCATAGTAATCACGGATCACTCGAAAGTCTTTCTAGTATTGTAATCTTCAATTATGAGTGACTAAATTTTCTATTGTTGGATATTGAGGTAATTACTTGAATTGTGTAATTTTTCCCTATTTTTATTCAAGTATTTATTCAATTAATTATTTTATTTTGATACTTTTAATGTTTATTGTGGCATAATCATAATCTTATAATTTTTTAATCGAGATTAAATTTTTTTTTAAATTACAACCTGGATAAAATATTGATATCATTTATTATCAAGGAATTGGGATAAATCTCATTAATTGACTTTTGATCCTTAATCTTAATGTAGGATTGTTAAATAAAAATCATCAAAAAATTGAGATTTTTTTTAAATAACCTAAAATTTCTCACATAAGGAATTAGATTTTAAATACAACTATAAGTTATCGATTTAATTATATAATTGTAATGAATAAAAAATAACGAAATTTTGCATATAAATAATTAGTGAATCAATTTCTAATTACTCTTATTATAAATTCAATTTTATCACAATTTACTGTTTTATTTTATTTCTATTGCGTTTAAATATTTCTTGTTGAAAAATTTTAATTTCTTATTAAAACACATTTAATATAAAAATTATATTAAACAATTATAAATTTAAATTCCTGAGATGTGATATTTAAATTTTTGTCCTTTTTTAATATATTTGTCAAATATATATCAACAATTTACTCTCACATGTGAGAGTCTTATTGATCTCCACTGACAAATTGACAATCAATACCTAGATAGATGTCAATATTCAATCTTTCATAATGAAAATTTACTATCAAACCAAGTTACATGTGAGAGTCTTATTGATCTCCACGGTGACAAATTGACAATCAACACCTAGATAGATGTCAAATTTAATTTTTCATAATTAATGAAATGGACTATCACTTTGTTGATGAGCACTAATTACAGCTGGGTCACATAGTTACGACTTATATTCCACTAAGCAACAATCAACATATATTCTTATAAAGACCAGACACTTGACAGGTTCAAGAGTTAATGGAAGTTGGGTATTCATCACAATGGTGACGCACCAACTTGAGGAAAGTAATGCGATGACAGGAGTTGGTCTTTCACATATATGATATATATAAGTTTTGATCAAAATGTGATCATTTGCACCGATTGATCTTCAAATATATATTTAAACACAAAATCATGTTATCCTATATTATCTAATTATCACGAAGGAATAAGAGCTTATCATCATATTAGTTTGTTATTTCTAGTGAACATGAATTACAAACACGTAGTCAAATAGCAATAATACAAAGTAAAATACAAAAAACACGTTTCCTCCAATTATTTTAGTCACAATTGACCCTTTAGAAAGTGGAAGCACAATTTTTTCAATGTCTCTCTATCTGGCTCTCGCAATACCGCCTTAACCTTTACATCCATCGCAAAATCTTCCTGATATCCCAAACATATATCCATAATGAGTAATTATATAACTCAAACCATAACCAAAAGAAACAACCTTAATGCATGACAAGAAAATGAGCATATATACCTGTAGCAAATTGCCCTGAAGAAGACGATCAGTAAAATAGAAGAGGATGTCATGGTTGAATTCAGGGTGGCCTTGAATTCCCAACATGTGGTCTCCATAGCTAAAAATCTCAACTCCAGTCATTTCTGACCAAGCAATTACTTCAGCTTTTGGAGGGAGCTCTAGGATCTTATTTCATATATATAATTGCACATAGTCAGTTTAATATTATCATAATTAAAAAAAAAAAAATCTTGTGAATGTAAGAAAACAAAATAAGCTTTAGAAACTACACACATACCTCATCTCGATGACATTTGAAAATGGAAATCTTTGATGGAAGGTTCAGAGATGACAAATTTGATGGTAAAGATGATGACACATTTATAGCTCTAACACCAATGTCCCAACCCTTGGGAGAGCGACCCACCTTTCCTCCCAATGCACGCCCAATTATCTATTTACACATGATCCTTTTGTCTTGTCAGAAATGTAAAGGATATAGTTGGGTACATATATAAAACAAAAGGTTAACCTAATGCAGTAAAATAAATTAAGAGAAAAGATCGAGAGTTTGCAATGCATCGACTATGTGCTAAACTCAACATAATAGAATATACAACACACTTTACAAAGACTTCGATGCAGAAAAAGGTATCCAAAGACAGGAAATCGATTAAAAAAAGGTATTTTCTATCTCATACCCATAGACACATAATAAGAAATTAAAAAAAGAATTATTGTAAAATATTTATTTTACTGAATTCATAAAATTCATTTAATATTTATTTGTAAAATTTATGAATTTATTAAAATGTGATTAATATTTGTACACTATATATCCATGGATACATAATAGATAATAAAAAACTAAAAATATACGGCAAAAACCAACCACCATGAAATGATCATATTGAAAAGTCATAAATTTCGCTTAAAAAGCAAAATTACATTTTTCCTTACTTTATTTTTCCCTTTATCTGAAAATGCCGGGTGACCACAAATTAGTGAAGTGAACTAGGACCGAAATAGACAAATAGGACCATTTGGAAAATGGCATTTTAGCATGCCGTACAATTCCACACTAAATTCCAAAAACAATAATAGTAGTTCCGAAATACTTCTGCAGCTGAAAAATGACGTCCAGGGTAACACTAATAAAGTTTAAATTTTGGAAAATAAATTTATAGTTAGTTTTTAAAAAAAAAAAACTATATATACATTAACAAAGCTATACAGATTGATAAAAAAAACATTATATATAACCTTTTCATTTAAATAAAAAATTTCTTTCAAAATTTATTTTAGATCTCACTTTTCATTAAACCAATCTAGACAGAAACTAGAAGAGATTAACAAGAAGTAATTGACTAATATATTGTTCGATAAGAGAAACTAAATCTGAATGTGTTAAACAAGAAGAAATCTACTAAATATGATGAATCAAACTAGTTATTAACAAAAATTAATAAATATTTTACATAAACATAGAATAGTTGTATAAGACTCTGAAAAAAAAAATTCGAAAAGGAAAAAATCTTAGTGGATAGGACCACCCAAAGTTGGCAACGCGTATGGTCCAGACCGAGGGCATCGACAACTTAACTGTTTCTTCCAAATCTTTACCTTAAACTTCCAAGAACTGGACCACGCATCAATTCGTATCCATCCTCAATAACTTGTCTCCTCAATCTCTAACTCATCATCACCTTTTAGTTATACTAATTTTCAAATTGCTTAACTAAACACGTATGTGTGCTGGAAAGGTAGTAAAATGGAAAAACAGAAAGCAACGGACAAACATAAATTTAAAAATAATGAATCCTTTCATTATAATTCGGTAACGTATCAGGATGAGGAAGAAAATAACCCTAAAAAAAGCGTGGAAGGCTGGAAGCAACCCATTCTATTTTTAATCCGCGGGGAAAGTGGGTGAAAGATGCTCTTGTTTAATTAAATTTAAACTACAAGTTATTAGTTATCCACATCAATATTCCTACTGTTTCCTTTTTAGGGATAGACAATAATGGTACTATATTTTAATATTTATCTACCTCAATAATCCTAAAGCCCCTGTGCCTGTAACAATAACATGTTCCAACTAAATGCGTCCAGACAACAGAAGGTAAATGAGAGAGATTAGAGAAATAAAAAAGTATATCCAAAAGGGTAGCAATTAATTAATTAATTAAATAAATAAAATAAAAGTTAGTTTTGGTAGGAACCTGGTGGCCGAAGCAAATGCCGAGGATCTTCTTGTGCATGGAGTCCAACTTGAGAACGAGAGCGATGAGATCATGAATCCATGGATGATTGGCGTGAGCATCGTGGCAGCTTCCGGTGATGACAAAGCCATCATAGGAAGCCAGTTGGTCGTGTTGAGGAAAGACTCCTTGAACAACCTTGTAAAGCTCCCACGTTTCTCCCTCCTCTGCAAGAACTCTCCCGAATATGTTGTAACAACCTCCGTGATTCTTCATCAAGTACTCCGTGTCCTCACCGCACATTAACACCGCATACCTCTTCCCCAAACCCATCTCTAATCAAACAACCTTAATTATATGTCTTCTTACTCACACAGACAGAGGGAAGAGGGAGAGAAACAACTTTTTTTTTTTTTTTTCTCTCTCTCTCTCTCTGCTGTTGGAGACACTGGGTCATGGAATTCGCCAGGTCTCTGTTTTAAAGGCTTGTGCCCAACAAACTGCCCTTCTGTCCTTCCTAATATTACAACACTATCCTCCTTTTTTTCATATATAAAAAAGAATGTTCTTATTTCTGCCACGTGTCAGCTTTTTATAGGTAACTCTACAACTATTTTTACTCCGTTTACTTTAACACCACCTGTCAAGTCTTCTGCTTATTACTCACGTCGTCATTCTCATCTATCACTCTGTCGCGCCTAAACCTTAACCTCAAACGCCTAGTTTTGTGGTAGGAGTTGATTCACGCTTAAGAGAGTTCAAATCCTATTTTTTATATATAGTCGCTTTAAATCTTGGGACCAATTATCCTATCCTTTAACGTGACTCCAGCATAACAAAGAGATTAACAGCGATGAATATTCTATGAACCAACCTTAAAAAAAAACCTGAAACGCGTTAATGTTTCTTTTCTTTTTTATATTTTATTTTTATTTTTCTCCGTGACTCATATTCTCTTATCTGACACAATAAACTATTACGTAGTGTAGGATAATTAAGTTACGTAGTTTAGGATCATCATCTCACTCAATTTTTATTAAACAAAATTATAGCATTGAATTATATTAGGATGGCTTTAAAATTTCTTCCCTCATAAGGAATCTTATCTTATATGCGTTTCTCAAGTTTAAACAAATAATGTAGCGTTGCTTGTGCAAGGATCTTTTTCTTTTCACTTGCAGACAGCGTGGCACATATTCCTTGGAGCGATCCAACGCGGTATCTTATACGCTATTCTTAAGTTTAAGCACAAAAAAATAAAAATAAAAAATCAGCTAGTTAATTTTCTTTTTGACAATAAAAAGTAATAATTCAGGTTCAGATTGAACAACAAAAAAAAAAAATTCGCATTGTGTTAATGTTGTAATTAATAAAATAAGAGGTGTAAATCTTATTTCAGAAAATGAGATTAAAAGAGAAATATAGATATGTTTTTTCTTTTTTAAGTATTGATGTAACTATTAGTTGACTTTTAATCTAAACTTGTATACTTTCAATTCTCGTGTACTTAAAAAAATGAACTGTATCCATCCTATGCATAGATTGATAGATAATTTTGAGTGCGAAATGAATTACAATCGTGAATTATATGTTGTTATATGGTCAGATTCATGCCATTATAAAAAGTTACTTATTAGAAAATAAAATAAAAAATTAAAAAAAAAAACTTGAGGATCAGTGCGGATGGAGCCAACCGGATTTGCTAGTGCAACTTAATTCTGGCAGCTTATGTTTGAGTGACTTTCTCTTTCAGTTGTCAAATTGTGATGAGTTAGAATAGATTTTCTCAACAATTTATACCATAGAAAATCATATAGCGACTTAAAAGTCTCCACCACTTATTTAAATAACAAAAACAGTAAAGTAGTTTAACTCAATTGATTGACTAGTGGCTGAATTGAACTGCTGTTATTGTAAGAGATCATTTATTAGATTAAATGTCGTCCAAAAAATATGACAATTGAAAGACAAAGAGTATTGTAGAAGTTATATTATTAATTGAAATTCACTAATTAAATGCAAAAAAAATAATTAAATAGTGAATTGTGATCACATCTTTATGTTGACCTTTTAATGGCAAATCTTTATTATGTCTAAATTTTTTAAAGATTTAAAGTTTTATATTTAATATATTATGTGAAAAATTAAAACATTTTTTAATTGAGTTTTATTTTTTTTATTTAATTAAATATAAAAGAATTTCAAAGAAAATATTTGATAAATTAGATAAATTAAGAGACAAAAAGCATGAAAATGATAAATTTATATATATTAAAGTTATGGTAAATGCATTAAAAAAAATACTGAAGTTATATTACGATATAATTTCTTCTTTGTAGTCCAAATATTAACATATATGATTTAAGTTACATCATATGGTTAAGTGTATTTAAATTCTTCTTTGTACTTTCATATAAAAATATTAATTTCTTTTACTATATATATATATAAAAGGAAAGATCCGTTTATTCTAAGAGTAAGTTTATCTAAATTTATTTCGTTCAATAATTCATGTTATATATCAAATTTAAGCTATCTAATCGTTGAAATTAAAACATTTAATGCATAAATTAGATTTGTAAACCTTTAAGAAATTTAAAAATCATTTTATACTTTGTTTCATTAATTCAAATTGACAGATAATCATAAAACATTTTATACAATGATTTAAATTAATTAAATAAAGTATCAAATAGTTTTCAATTTTTTTAAAAAATTTGCAGACTTGATTTTTATATAAAAACTTTAAATTCAACCGTTAAATCATTAAATTTTGATGTAAAACATAAATTATTAAATAGAGTAAGCTTAAGTAAACTTACTTTTAGAGTAAATAATTCTTTTTTTTTTTCTATATATATATATATATATTACAAAATGAAAAAGTTTCACATAGACTAATATAATCTTTAGAGAATAATTTACATAGCAAGTTATGATATATGTATACAACAAAGTTAGTAAAAGTGGAGAGACTCGTGTCATATGCATGAACCAAGTGAGCTTATTTCGGTATAAATTAGTTGATTTCTTTCCTATACACGAGCTTCTTCTCAACTATTTCTTTTACTACAATTCATATTTTATATTGGATAAAATTAAACGCCCAATTATAAAATAAAATTACAAAATTATAGAATTTTTTTAAATTTTTTTTGGAGCTGGACCTGATAAAAAATTTCAAATAGTTCAGGAACATACCAAATATATAATTTAACATGCATTAGTTAAATCTAAACAATTGCTTTAAATAAAATTTAAATATGATTATATAAAATAAAAAATCAATAAATATATTCAAATTCTAATCTCAGGAAAACAGCAAAAGGAAAAAATTACAGCGAATTTTAAGAAAAAGAACAAAAAAAAAATTATGAGGTTAATTTGTAATTTTGTGTGTATATATATATATATATATATACACATATGTAAAATATTTAATACAATTATTCAACAAATTTTCATTTTATTACTTCATCATATTAAGAAATAGAACAATATAATTAATTAATTATTTATTTTTATTAGATATCTGTGTAAAAATATTTTCTCTAACATTAATTATATATAATTTAAAGTGAAGTTTTATGCTTGATATCAAATTCAAAAATCCAACAATAATATGTAAGTTTTTCATAACATTAAATAAACTTTATTATAAAATAAAAAATATATTATCATGCTATTATTTTTCTTAAGAAATCATACAAAAAAAATAACATTTAATTTTTGTCCCAAGAAAACTTGTTAAAAAGTGATTTTTTTTAATAAGGGGGTATAGTTGTTATCTATAGAGTTTGTTTCTATAAAGATAAGATGGTATTTTTAATTAAAAAATGATATATATATATATATATATATATATAATATGATTTAATTAAAGATAATTAAATGACTGTGTGGTTGGCTTTTAAATGGGGACGATGCTAGTCTTGGTCTTCAAGGACCAAAGTCATCCAAAGTTTTCCACAAGCAAAATCGAAGGTCTTGCTATTTCCATTAAGTCAATGCGTTATGAGTAAGCCACTAAATTTGGCACCATTGTCAAAGAGCATTGGATCCTTGTGATTAAAAAGAAAAGATCATGACTTACAAGACTTGGAAGCAATCAAACCTTCCAAATCCATTAATATTTTATTCACACGACACCTTTAACCCCTTAATTTCCCAATATTCCCCAAACGTAAAGATCATGAAACATCCCTTTCAGACTTTTCTCCTCCTTGTAAAGCTATGACTAGATTTGCCTCCACAAAAAAAGTATATTTAGAGAAAAAAAAATTAATAAATGGAATCCTTTTAAAACCTACAATTAACTTGTGTACAAGTCAAATTTTGAAAATTAATATGCAAAAATTTGTACAAATTAATTTATATTTAAATTAATTTTAACTTATTGAAATTTTAATTTACATAATTATTTTTTTTATAGAAGTTTGTCCAAATAAATCTTATATTAAATATTAATATGCCATCTCCATCTTCATCTTCACAAGAGTCTATTGTTTTTGGCGTTGGAGTATGCACTTGCGACCATTTTTTTTTCCATTTCAATTATGTCTGCTCTTATCTTAGTATCGTGAAGACTACTTTAACCTTATATTTATACTAATAATTAGGTGAAGCTAAATAATATGTTCTTAATTATTTAAAATAATTTAATTAATATTTCAAATTAATATATATATATATA